ATTCTGATCGGATTTTCTCTACTGTTCGTTTTAATTTTAAATTGTTTTGCATTATGTGGCCGTTTGCTGTTTTATGGGTTCTTCCCATTGGCCTTTTCAAATTTATATATTATTAAAGAATCTCTATTGAGATCCAGCGGGCCGCTATTGATGCACGGTAGAGATTGCATCTTCACATCTCCGATCTTGTTCACAAATATATACTTGTATAAAGAAATAATAATGGATTCCAACACAGGAGGGTGGATTTTGAATTCCTCCAGAAGTCGACATTTGTAAAATTCGAATATTGTTGACTGCATTAAGCTTTGAAAACAATCTGATAGTACTACGTTGAAAACAAACTGAATAAATATGCTTGTACAATGGAGCTTTTATTTAGTATCTGTATATAATTGAAGAAGAAATATGTGGTAGACACCCTTAAAAATAATAACTGATGCCTAGTTGTTGTTGTCAAGTGCAAGTGGATTTGAATAATTATTCATTCATTAAACAACATTTATTTCCGTAAATGTTAAATAATATTTATAGTAAATCATTATTATAACAAGAATATATGTAAATAACTTAATAATATGAAAAACGATTAACTAGGATCTTTAATGGCAGATAACAATATCTTTTCACGTAGGATACTCACAGAAACAACATAATTTAAATAAAAATATTAAAAAGACAAATTATACGCTATGCTTAAAATATTAGAACCACGCTTCGAAAAAATATTAATGCAAATGCAAGGTCAATAAACAGACTTAGCGTGTCACTTGCTATGTACTAAAATAGCAATTGTTTGTATCCACCCTTTAGAATTTTGTGCACCCACCCTTGAAATTTTGAGGACATTTTCTGAAATTTCACCATTCTTTAAAAATCCTGGTGAAAGTGTTGCCATGGGGAACATAAGACAATGAAGAGAGTGAAAACAGTTCCATAATAAAAATGCTGTCCCTAAAGGTAAAATTTGACAATGTTAGGAGAACCTCCGACGACAAAAGAATTCCCCTTAAAATATGTTTTAAATGTAGTAGTAGTATCCGACGACAAGCAATAAAGAAAAAACTAAACTACTGGAACAACTCTCTCGACACGAAATGTTTAGTGTATCATACAAACGTTTAAATACCTGCCTCTGACCACAAGCAATCAAGACAAGACTAGATAAGAACGACTCGCTCGACACGAAAATTTTAGTTTACTAGAAATTGCAAATTGCAAGTGAAGTGCTGCGAAGTAAAGCTGCATATAAATGTTCTTCGAACAAAATTATTTATGCGAGTCAAGTGAAAATAATGAATAATAAAACTATAACAAATAATATGAGACACGACCCATTGTCTATATTAGAACACTTCTCATTGGGTAACAAAGTCGTAATTTTTCATTTTTGTCAAAAAGTGTCTATAGTGTGGTGAATTATTGTTTAGGTTTTTTTTAATAAAGTTTCAAAAATTTCTATGTATGTGGAAAACGTAGTTGATTACCAAAGGTTACAATTTTTATTTTGAAGACTGCATGGTCTAGGAAGTGTACATTTTTTTATGGGGCAAGTTTCCAAGGGCGGGTTTTCTAGGGGCGAGTTGACTGCCAAAGAGTGTTGCCAAAGTGCGAGCCAGCGTGTTATTTGATCACAAGTGCGAGACATATCACAAGAGTGAGCCAGCGGGCCATGACGTCACGACAATATATAGAGACGTTAGCCAGTTGTGCGAGGTATCGGCTGAGATTTGTGGAGTACAATTCAAAAAACAACTATAGGTCTAATAATGAATTATTGTGATGTTAAATAGACAATGTTAGCTATACCTTCAAGGCTAAGCCTATACCATCCTAGCTAGTCTAGGCCTAGAGTAGGATAAGGCTAGCGCGACATGCGGACGTTGGTACGAGTAGGTTAGTCTACAAACGTCGCCTAAAGTAATTGATTTTACCCGGCAGAACGAAAGAAGGAAACTCCACTTTTCAGTCGTCTTAGGCACTCGTTTTTTTGACAAACAATGACCTTTCAGAGGTCAAATTGCTGTCAAGAATATGAATTGGCTGCTTCGCAGCAATTATTAGTTTATTTACAAACATTCAAATACCTCTGACCGCAAGCAATCAAGGAAAGACTAGACAAAAACAAACCCGCGCGACACGAAAAGTTTAGTGTATTATAAACGTTGAGACCGCTACACAACGGCCTTTGCTTCGAGATTTGAGCATGAAGGCAAGGCAAAAGCAGCTTTCTTAGCAAGGTTTTTTGTCCGCTGATCGGAAAAAAAAAACGTATTTCATTTTTATTTTATCAATGAAAAACAACTACTGTAAAATGTTTAGCCCATAAATATGATGTGTGTGAAGAAAATACTAAATAATATTTTAATTTGGACCTTCAAAAAGCAGTTAAAAAGAAATGGCTATGACATTTTAGGGGGGGGGGGGCTAAAGCCTGTTTAGCCCCCCCCCCGCCTCTAAATCCGCCCATGCAAAGGAAAAGGAAGCGTTGTGCTGGAATTTAAGCATAAATTAACGTCTTGTAATAGGCCATTGAAAAGAATATGGCTAAGATTCTCCATCGTAAAATGTTGTGCTTGGTCATTCTTACCTAGAATCTAGAAAGTATTTTAAACATAAAACATGGGTTTGAGCTGTTTGAGGTGAAGTAGTGAATTTTATTTCCCGAGGTGCTGTTTGATGTGAGCTTTTCCCGAGACGCGAAACGAAGCGGTTCGGGGTCATATTTAAGACACTCCTTAAATCTACATCCTCTTCCCGGATAATAAACAATTGCTATTATAGGAGGTACTTCATTTCAATCCTGCATTTGGATGGTTTAGACAGACCGGTAACTTATCTATATTTTTGACGTTACGCGAGGACAACCAGCATCATGCTAAGGCTGATTATTTCAGTTTCGTTGTTGCTGTCATCGTGTGCGGCTAACACGTAAGTTCTTTTTTTTTCTGTTAAATTAATCATCCAATGGTAATCATCTTCAAACTTGGTAAAAATATAAAGACTGAACGTTTTTATGAGCATAAAGAACGTTTTCGCTGGGGCCAAGGGTCGTGTAGGACGCACGATGTGGCCATCTCGTCATAGCTTGATTTTCGAGGCACATTAAACATCAGCAACAAGCTTTTATTCTTAAACGAGTATTATGACGCTTAAGTTTATTTTTTTTTTAAGGAAACTGTCATTGTTTTCTGGGCCCTATATTTACAGAGATCGACGTAATGAATCTTAATAGGATAAGAGCCATAGAAAGCAGGAAAGGGATGCATTTTTCTTGTCGCAACGACAGAAATTCCCCGATAAGGGACTAAGCATGTGACAGGGATATACACGGTGACATCACTACCGCAGCTTCAACAGGTTCTTTGAACCTGGGCCCCTGAGCTCCAGGGGCCCCCGATCTATAAAAAAAATCTAAAAGCAATGTTTTATTGTGACATTTAACTATAGGCCAAATTGTATCCCACCTTCCAGCGAGTGGAGTAACACCGGGGTAGAGGGTCCTGTGGCTTTCACAGACCATGGGGTCCATTTTTGGCTCTAACTGAAATCACGTCCGCCGTTATATACATGCGAGGGATAATGAGGGCCGTCGGAACCGCACCGCTTGGCCGGACCACTTTTTCTTGTGCTTGTTTTTGTATTGCTTATGTACATTTCAATTTTTGACAATATTTAATTTTCTTAATTTAGATGATTTTTAAATATTTTAGAGGTATAAATATAAAATAACAATTACTTATTTATAAAAAAAATTGGGGGTTGGACAAATAAGTAAAATTAAAATTGTACCGGCAGTATGTTACTCGAAACTCTATGGTATTCAATAATTTGTAGGACTATTTTAAAATTTGATGATAGCATATAGCTTATGTGTATTCGTAACATCTTTTATTTTGCATATTGTTTATATTTCACGATACCCTTACACGTAGGTACTTATTCATTGTACAGCATTATAATGTGCGGTATTAAATTAGATGGCTCTCGGAGAGAGCATACCTCCGCCCACATCATAATTCTCCTCGGTATAAATTTCCCCCATATGATCCCCAATAATAATAATAATAATAAAAAAAACAAAAAAACAAGTAGACTCATTGGGATTTAAACCCTGGGCTAGTAGTGTGGAAAACACTCTTCTTACCACTACACCAAACTGTTTTCTGATAGGCCTATCACTTTGAAATTAATAGTCATGTGAGCCCGTATAAGCACACACACTTCTATATTGCAAAAAGTTATACAAGTTTTCGATCATTGTGTCCTTGACCTTTAACCCTGACCCTTCAAAATATAGTCACTTCCAGATCTCTGGTAAACGAACACTGTGGCCAAGTTTTGACAAATTTCTGATAAAAACTGTTTAAAAGAAATCGTTTTTTGTTGTTGATTGTGATCTTGACCTTTAACCCTTACCCTTAACATTCAAATACTTTGAGATCTTTGGCCATGGAAAATTGTGACCAAGTTTGTGAACACGAATAAATAAAAGTTTTTCGTTGATTGTGACCTTGACCTTTGATCCTGACCCTTCAAAATTAAATCAGCTCTAGCTAGATCTTAGGCAAAGGGACATTGTGGCCAAGTTTGAAGAATTACTGATAACTATGGACTGTAGGCTGTGAACATAACAAAGGCATGCTCTGATCGAAGTTTTTAGGCCTGTACGAGCACTATCACTCCCATATATACGGTAGCGGTACAACATCCTTATGCAAAAAGTTACAAGGCTTACCTGGAGGTCAAATATACTTGATATGTAGAGACCTCGCAAAGAAATATATATA